AACTTTTTTAAAAAATGTGATAGTGATAGTACTATGATTGTGATTATATAAAGGTATTTTTAATATTAAAAAAAATGTCCATACAAAATTATGTGATTATATAGAGTTTGTGATTATATAGAAGGTGATTGTATGGGGGGAAGACTGTATATCATATAAACATATCATATAGCAATATAATATTGTCATTTGTCAACACTGTCTGTGACTGCTATATTCTTTAATCATAAAACCTAATCTAAATATATACTACAACCAACTTGACATATTAAGTAGACAAGATCTGTAGAGATTGTACAGATATATGTAGTCATAAAATTATATTATTCATGTAATTACAATTATATATAGTGTTTGATAAACCTTGTTATTCTCAAATCTTTAATTGTACAATCTATTTTATTTTTATATTTGTACTACTTTTTTATATACTTATTTCATATTCTTAATATATAATATATTTATTACAATTAGTAATTTGAACTGATTAAGATCTAATTAGGTAACCAAACCGAACTGAGCAAAACTTAGTTAACTGATTGAGTAAAGTTCTTAATTGGGTAACCCAGTACAACTGGTTAACTATTGGTTATCCAGTTAACTGATTATTAAAATCAAGATCAATACGTATGATAAATAAGTGATGCCAAGACTTTATTGATTTGCAATTGAATATTTGTTTAAAACTCACATTTTTTGTGCAATTTGTATTATCTGAATGATGCAAAGGAATTGGGATTGAAGAAAGAATATAAGGTGTTTGAATATTTATGAAAGCTGCAAATTTAAAATTACTTAACTAGTACTTGATTCTATTTTGTTAACCTAGTTGATATTTTTTATGTCCAGTTGACATGATTAAGCCAGATAACTTGGGTCAACCGCATTAACTGAAATAATTCTGGTTAATCCGATTAGAATCAGTTAAAATAGTTCGGTTAACCGATTATTAATTTGATACTTGGTTCAAATCACTAATTACAATATGGGTGGAGTCAATAGAATTTAGACAAATTGGTTCTATGTAAATTTTTTTAGACTTTAAATTAAAATATCTCAACAACTATTAGACTAAACTTGATGAAAATTTTTTTATTTTAATTCTATAACTAAATAGAATTAAAATAAAAAAATTTCTATCAAGTTTGATTTAATAGTTGTTGAGATATTTAATTTAAAGTCTAAAAAAAATTTACATAGAAATAATTTGGATTCTATTGACTTTCTCTCATATATAGTTATCCATATATAGAGATTGATATGTAAGATAAAAATTGTTCGATATCTTAAATATGAATTAGATCCACAATTAAGCATATTGATTTGCAAAATTACTATAAAAATATACAAATATTTGACAAAGAATAACTTGTAATCTACTATATTTTGTTTATATCAGATATTACTGAATAGGTTTTTCTAAGTAAAACCTATCTGGTAATACCCAATGTAAACAAAATGTTAGAATTCTCAGAATTCTATAATCAGATTTTAATAATATTGGGCTCTTTAGAATCGTCTCATTGAGACAAACATTTTAACAATAAAAGTATCTAAAATAGACTAGTAGATCACAAGTTATTCTCTGTCTAATATTTAAAGATTTTATAGTAATTTCACAAATCTACTGATATGGTAAAGTCAATACACTACCTCAATTACTAAGTAGAAACAACTACTTGGAAGTTGTATTTAATATCTTGTACCAGAAAAATCTTTCCAGAATAGATTTGTAATGAGAATAAGCAAAAGTGTTTGCTTAATATAAAATGCAAAAACGTGATTACTAGTTCTAATTAAAAACTGTTCAAAATAACCTCATAGAAGAAAAGTATTTTAATATATATAGTGTACTAGAGTTGGGCAACAAAATGAAACCTACCCAAAACTAGTTTCCAAAAAGTTTAATCTGAAACTAGTTTTAGATTTATTGATATCTATTCTAATAATTTATTCACTTTTAATATTATTACTAATATATACAAAAATCTTTTATATTTATTAATAGTTTAATTTACATATAATATATAAATTTATATTAATACCATATTAGAATCAATTTTTAACTTATATAGTGCAGAACATCTAGTCGCATTAAAAAATAATTGCTTGCAATAAAAGTTTAATAACTTTTTAAAAAAATAAGCAATTAAAAAAAAATTTCTATAACAATATTATTTAAGACCCAAAAAATATCTGTATAGAGAATTTTTCTAAAATGTTCTTTTATTAAAAAGTTATTTTTGTTCAAAATTTCTTTAATTTATTAATATTTTAAAAAATTCAGCGCTTTATTTTATTAGTAAATATAAAAAATTCAGTGCTTATATTATAAAATACTTTTTAATAGATTAATTAGTATATAAAATTTTTTTTCAAATTTTAATTTCTCTTTTTTTTTATTTTTTTTATTTTTTTTTTTTATTCAATCTCTTTTAAAAATTTCAGCACTATTAAACATTATAAATATTTTATAAATTTTAAAAAATTCAGCACTGAATTTTAAAATTCAATACTATATTTTAAAATTCAACATTAATTATTAAAATTTCAGCGCTACTATATATGTTTATATATATATTTCAAAATTTAGCACTTTGATGTAATTAGATGTCCTGCACCATACTAAAATTAAATCTTAGTATTATTGATGTACAAATAGCTACCAACAATTAGATGATAATAATTTGTTAGAACGAACAAATATTAAGTTTTAACAGTTTCAGAGTTTCAGAAACTATAATCTAAAACCTGAAACTTTTAGATTTGGCAAAAAAGGCATTGGTGCCCAACTCTATGGTGCACCAAGTCACATCAAATACACCAAATATAGAGTATATATAGATACTTTTTAACTAATCAGAATGTGTCATATACTAATTCTGATTAATAAAAAATTCAAAAACTTTTTAAATTTTTTATATTAAATGCTAAAATTTTAAAAGCATAGTAGCTTTTGTACTTATAACTTAAATTATAAATTTTTTTAAAATTCTACCTGATAATTTGAATAGAACTATTAAAAATGAAAATTTTATTAATCACATTTTTTAAAAAATATTTAAAAATTATATAGAATTTTTAAAAATTATATGATTTTTGACAAGAAGTCACTATACAAAATAGTAGAAAAGAAGAATTAGTGGTAAAAGGATAAAATGTGTAAGAATAAAGAACAGATCAAAGAAATTCTGATAGTTGAATTGTGTAAATTATTTATGTATATCAAATATATTTAAAAACCTACTTTTGTCTCCACATAGAAGACTTTTTCATTTTTTAGAAAAACACAGTGATTATTATAAAGTAGTTAACTAATAATAAACTGGCTTTTAAATATGTAATATCATTTTTGTCAAAACAGATAGATAATTGTTAAACAATCAACAGGCTTTATTCATATATTAAAATTTTCTTTGAAATAAAATAACCTATGTTGTAAAAGAATCCAACTATTAATTCACGCACTAATAGCAATTTTACAGTTTTAAAAACTTTATTTAAAAGGTTTTGATAATAAATTACATGTTCCTTGCTATACAAGCACGAAATAACTTGCAGGAGCATTATTTTGAAAATTGGCCAGAATTAAGCTTAATTTAAGCCAAAATTTGAAATTAAATCCCTGTGCATTATTTTGTGCTTGTACAGTAATAGTTTTTCTTAAACCTTACATAATTAATAAAACTATACTATTGTATATATTAAATAACTTCTATTGTGTTAAATATCTTTTAACCATCATAACTTTAAGAAGAGTCTACAAAATTTGAAAATAAAAGCTAACAAGTTAATATTATAACTAAAAAACAAATAAAAATAAAAAAAACAACGTTGAACTTTGTAAATTGAGCAGTAAAATATACTTTTATTACCTCTTATTATATGGTAGATAGTACTTCAACCTTCACTATAACTACCGTGATGCAGCGTGATGCAAATGATGCAACTTGAGTTTATTGAAAAGACGTTCCCTATGAAGCTATTTTATTAGTAAAGTATTACATGATTGATTTTTTTTTAGGTTTTTTAAACTACAATTCTGTATAAATACTCGTGTAATGTAGATCCCGGAAATCATCAGCCTCAATAAAATTATCATCCGGATCACCTTTTACTTAAATAAAACCTAATATTTATGTCTTCATACACATGTAGGAACAGTTAAGTAAATTAAAGATCTTGATCACGTGATTGCTGCGAAGGTTATTCACGATAGTTCCTCACTACTTTGAAATCATTGAGACCCATAATTTGTATGTTCTTATCGAGCCGATTGCCTCTTTCGTAACAGCAAATCACATAAAACCTCTTGTTAATGCAACCCACAGTGTGCTAAAGTAAACCACGTGAGACATTTATCAATTATCAACGTCTCGTTGCATCAGACCGATTTAGAGGTGGTTTGAGTGTAATAGTTTCTTTCAAATGCACTTGACATTTTTCAAGCACGTGATATCGACAGTTACCAAATAAATAGGTTCTATTTGGTGTATATTAGTACTTTGGTGTAGCAAAAGCATGCATATAAACACAAATTTGTTTATTAAAAATATATATAAATTCATAATTATATAAATACTTAAAAGAAAATCTAATTTAAGAAATACTATATAATTTAATGGTGTGTCTGTCTTCAGTATTTTGATTGACTACTTATTAGACACATTATTAATGAGTAGCATGTGGATCTGCATGCTACTTAGCGGCTTGTTTCTTTAAAGGGTATAATTCGAATCTTTTTGTCTGAGGCTTATGTGGAATGAGACTCATTTCTCCATTTACAGTGTATTCAAGTTTGTCTTTAGTCTTATTTTCGGCTTCTTCTTTAGCTTTATTAGCTTTTTCACTAGCTTTTTTATTGGCTTCTTCAAATAATTCAACGACCTTCTCCAAATCTTTATACCGACTTTAAAAATTCATATTTGTAAATAATTATATAAGTATTGAATTGATAATTAATGAGATAACACTATAAAACCATTGTAGTATTCATTCTTACTCGTTATAGACAACTTTACTAATCTTCGTTTGAATTAATTTTTTTGCACAATCTTAAAAATATTTCAAATTAACAAGCTCAGTGTGTGTTAAAAGAAATTATAAGATCATTAAAACAATATTACATACTAAGACATGGAGACCTAAATAAAATTATTTAATTTCTGATAATTATATAAATATCATTTATAATACTTATACACTTACGTAGTACAATAAAGAGTACAACCCTCTGCTTCCCTTCCGGCTATCAATAATACATTTTCTTCCGCGTGTATACATATACAATTATCCCTTCCTTCTTCTTTGATACCTTTACAACAATCACAACGACCATCAATGCAATTACCTATGTTTGTGGGTGTTCCATTATATCCAGTTGCGATTACTCTATAATCGTCTTTAACTAATATGCATCCAACCTTACGACTCATACAGTTGGTTCTTGACGCTGTCACTTCCGCTAAATACATAAAATAATCCTCTTTCAATGATCGTAATGGTTTTCCCAATATCTCTGATATCTCTTGATAAAGTTCATCATTTGGTTTATTATCAGTTGACACAGTGAAATCAGCCATGGACATCATTTTATGGTTTTTCTTATTATCATTATCAATTTTTTGCGTAAATTCAGAAACCTTGATTTTTTTTTCACTGTTTCAATAATAATTAATAATTTAAACATATTCGATAACAAGCTGTAATAATCTTAAAATTAATGCTTACCTTTCCTTCTGGTTGTTGTCTTTTTTTCGGTTGTCTTTCATCCATGATTCATAACGAGCGCTTAATGCATCATCCACAGCCAATAATAAGAAAAGAGTGCATTGTCTATTGAAAAAAAAAATTATTAAATTGATATATATTATAACTTGTTGTTTTACAGTAAAGGTTGTATATAAGAATTACTTGTATTCATATAATTCTTCTTCTGTCTCAACCTCAATCACGTATTTCGTCTTATAATTCATTTTGACCATTTCTAATAAGAGTTTTGATGTACTCTTATTTTCATCTTTAGGCTTAGCATTCCATTTGGTCAATTCGGTTTTTTCATCTTTAGGCTTAGCATTCCATTTGGTCAATTCGGTTTTTCCATCTTTAAACTCGAACTCATTTTTAAGCAATTTGATAACATCGTCTTTATTAGACAAAACAGTGTGGGTTATTCCAATAAGCATAATTGAAGTTTTTGTTATCTAGATGTAACCTCGAAAAAATTAGTGAGCTTTATAAGTTTTTTCTATTATAAAATAATACAGTAAAGATGCACAATGATAAAAAACTCTTATTATAGGCAATTCTCATTTAATAAATGGGACAAAAGAATTATACAAATAAAGCGTCGCCAAACATGTATATCATATACTGTTTATATTCGTGTAATTATGAAAGATTTTTTAGATAAGGGATTATCAATTCCAAACCTCTACACAAAGAGATATATGCTAGCATTAATTTAAAGTTTTAGACATTTCAATAATAAAAAATAGGATAAATACATACGTAATACAAATTTCGTTTTACAAAATTAATCTTCATATGAAAATATAGCCTGCTCTCGTTATAGTGAATATCCTTACTATAACCGCTATTGTCCATTGTTCATTGGAAATTTCTATTATAAATTATTTAAACCAAAAATTTTTTATATTAATCAAAAATACTCTATTGTTACGGTGAATTTATGAAATTTAGCTAAAATTTGGTCACCAAATCCGAGTAGTTTGTTCCCAAAACTAAACTTTAGTTACCAAATTACATATTAATAAATCAATACCAAACCCCGAAAAATTTTTTTGAACCTCTGATCTAGATTGATAACGCGGCTAACCCATCTTCCCCACCTTTGTTAGACATATAAATTTATTAAAACGACAAACCCTAACCGTGGAAGCATTGATTATCTCAGCCAAAATCTATATTTACATATTAGTAATCAAATTTTAGGGTATTTCATAAATTTGCCGCAATGTTATAATGAGGGCAAACAGTATTTTTATACTACACTTTCTATAAGGATACACTCTGCCTTACACGTAGTGACTGGACTCGTCAACTCGTGATTATCATGATTCGAATAAAATTGCGAGTTACTCGCGAGTTAATTATGAAGTTTAAAATGATTAGTAATCAGCATTTGAATTATTTTGGCTTAATGTAACTCGCTATTTGAAGTATGTTTTTAGCTCGCAATTTACAATGAATTAATTGTGATACGAATTACTCGAATAAAACTCGAGTAAGTATTCGGACACTCTTCAAAGTTTAATTATCGCGCCAAGGGTTGATGAGTCACTACATACACGGACTAAGCATGACCAGCTAAATCAGTAACGATATTGGTGGTTTTAAGTTTTTGTGTGACTTCCTGACAGTGAATTCGCTTATTACATTCACTAAATTTGGCTAATAAATAGTTGCGCTACGTAGTCACGCCAAAAATAAACACCAGGTAGTTAAAGGAAATCGCTTGTCAAAAAATTTCTATTTATTATTTCTTTTTAAAAATTACAACAAATATTGTTAGAGTTCAAATCCCACAGACGACGATTTTGAAAAATAGATTTGTGTTTCGGTAACCTGTATAAGATGATTGGATTA